CTATCAAACAAATAGATGCTCAGAGACTCCGAAAGATTTGGTATCCTGTGTTTACTGTAACAAGACAGGATGGTCAAATTTGGAGGTTTAGTGAAGCTGATTTCTCTAATATGTACTTAGACGATTTGGAGTATATGTMTTTCRAACTMAAAAACATGCAGATCAGAAAAGAAGGAGAACTAGTAGCACTGGAGGCAATTAAAAGATTTATCAGAAGCCAAGTCAAGCTATCTATGGTTATCGATGTTCAAATGGGTCTTGAGGATAGTCTGAAAGTTATTAATCTCAAAAGACCTAATCAAGAGTTTGAAGACATTGATGGCTACCCAGTGTACATGGTTCTTGAACATCCTGAGTTCAGAGTTACGTATTTTGCTCAACTCCAGAAGAAGAAGTTTATGAGATTTAGTGAACTAAACAAATACTCTGATGGCACTATTAGGTTGGTAAAAAGGGCTTTAAACTCAAAGTTGGTGAATGACGAAAAGGCTGTGGATTCTGAGCKAATGAATGYCAAAGAAAGATATCTGTTCGTTAATGCCGTTAATCTGCTCGAGGAAAAACTTCAATATCGAAATGCTCTGAGACGATTTGAAAAGATTCTTGGACTACGCAAAACGAAATTTACAAGGGTCCAAACTTGAATCCAAAGGGGGAGAATGTTGGGTTCAAGATTAGTGCTTAAATGTTGTATTCAAGTTTCTCCATTTAGTTAGTTTTATTGTAATTAGTTTAGCATTATTTTCTTTAGTATAAATAGTCTTTTCAGTGTAATTGTAATTACATTTGATTACATCATTAATCAGAAAAGGTGATTTGACAGCAATTATTCTCTCTCTCCAATCTATATTGAATTCATATTCTGTTCTTGAGATTTAATGAAGATTGCTTCAAGATTCGTATGAAATCTGGACTTTTCAACAATGCAAGGAAGATTGTTAGTACCAACAGGTGTATGAGATAAAGTAGAATCAGACTTATTAACCCATATGCTCTTAATCTTGGAAGAATAATTGGGTGATCCAATGACATACCCTTGATAGTACTGATTAGAACGAGAATAGTTCTT